AGTGTTCTAAGTCTGCATTTTTCAATCCTGGTCCGATTTCACTAATCCTCTACGATTCAACAACTGTGAGATATTAATATCTACATTACTTGATCTAATCGACCCAAATACTATCGCTAATGAATAGGAAAATGAGATCCAAGATAATCCCAAATCCAATTGGATATCTTCCAACTTGCGAGCTACCAAATTTAAAGTTATAACGCACTTCATTAAATGTTAGAGAGTTATATTAGCTTTGGTGGTGTGATTTGGTATTGAAAAAAAAACTTTTATAAGAAACTGACTCCTATATTTCTGAAGTGTACTTGGCATGAGAAAAAAAAATTATTATAAAAAAAAATTCGGTACAACAGACCATTATTCCTTCCGTTCCATTATTATGAAGATAAAAGATTACAAGGTACAACAACGTAGAAGACAAACACTCAAATATAATATGTGAGATAATATATATCATAAAACATCCAATGCAACACACACGCAAACAAAGTTACGTTTTTTTTTTTTTTGATAAAAACAAACAAAGTTACGTTGTTTATATCTTTTGGAATCTCATGGTTTCTTTTGAAGCTCTGATACCATGACGGTCACGGCAGCACATGCAATATAGCCCATCTCCCCCCGAAGACCTGCAAACGCCGTCAGTAAACATATCACTCTCCATCACGCATATGTCCTTGCAAAAGGCATCGGAGGTTCGGGAATAATCTTTACACGGACTGGTTGCGACGTCACAAATTAACCCCTCCACTTCTATCCAATCCATACAAATAAGACGCATTTCATACATTAGATCTTGGAAAAAAAGATTTGACGATTTTCAAAAACATCACGTTTTTAAGTTTTTATACCAACACTAATATTTAGCAAAAAAAAAAACACTCATTTTTGAATTCCAAAAATAGCACAGATTCCAAAATGATTCAAAATGTCCTCATGGGAAAAAAAACTAGATATTCTTAAATTGGAGAAAAAAACCAAATATAATGTTTTAATTTTGTTTCTAATTCATTCAGGGTTAAAAAATATTTTACACCGAATATTTTGTGCTATTATTGAAAATTAGTAAATAATAATTGTATTTTTCGAACAAAAACTTAAAAATGTGGTATTTAGGCTATTTCTCAAAAATATTTTCATTTAAAGTGTATATACATACCTGTAGGAGATAAGAGCAGGATGGAGAGACAAACGACTAATGCAACAACAACAATTTTGCTCAACCTTAGGCTCCCCATTGTTTGTTAATGATCTCTCAATTATTCTTTCTTTATTTTTCTCTTTGTGATTGATTTAGCCAAATTGAGGTTTTATTTATAGCACTGGCCTTGCGGGGGAAGAATCAAGCAAACACGTTACTTTATTTTATTATACCTTATTCAAAACTCTCGGATCATAAGAAAAAATAAGAATTTAATCTCTAATTATAATATTATCTATCACATTATCCAGCTCACCTATTGACTTTTGTTTTTATTATAGATATGATGTATATGTTACTCTTTTAAATTTAAACACAGATATGTAAATACTCAATTCATCTATAATTGAATTAATAAGTAAACAAAAATATTAATAATTATTTTCTAATTTCTATAGTCTAAATCAGTTTTTTTCTTTCTTTTAAATCAACATTGTCTAATTTTATGTTTCAAGTCATAGCATCAATTAATCATACTTTATATTAAAACTACGTAAAGGCCCCGCATATATGCGGGTTTATGGTAAAATTTTTTTTTAAAACCAGTG